TTCGCGACGTCCCACCGCGTAAGTGGAGCCTTTCGGCGTTTACTCGCGATAATATAATATACAATACTTGTGGAATAGGAGATAAAAATAAATAAATAAAAAACCCCCCAGCCCACATTACGAGTAATAATGACCTCAACCCCCCCCCCCCCGCCGGTTACACAATCCACATGTTAAGCTTTGCCCCCTGCATTTCCCTGCATACAAAGTACTAGTACAAGTGCGGTAGGCCCGCTTGTTTGCCTCCCCCCCTCCCCGGTCCGGAATATAGTAATTGCTTCCCGGATGCAAACCAACTTGGTCGCGGCGCATCGCGGACTATTCACCGTTGCTGCGTTGATAGTGTACTCATAGCGCTGTGCTGCATCCGTGGGTTAGCGAGATCTTAGCAAGTACGAACTAGTATTATACGAGTACAGTACAGTACTAGTACAGCACAGCACCGGTATCCCTGACGCGGACTTGTTTTTTTTCATTTTCTTCCTTGATCGTCGGTTTGTTGGGTGAGGATGTGCTCGTACTAGTGCTCTACTGTATGATTTGGCTTATCTCCTATACTCCCCGAGGTGTGACAATCGCTTGCATACTACCGTATGATGTTCGGAGAGGGAGGGAGGGGGCAGGAAGGGAGGAAGGGAGAATGTAAAAAATAAAAATAAAAATCCCCCGAAGAATATGGTAATGAGTTCTTGCACTGTACTCGAGTACAGTATATAATAATGGGGTGAGTATGGTACTCGAGTGCAGCATCCCGCTCGGTATTCGTGAGTGTGGAGTGTCGAATCATAGCGTAAGAATTTCTCATTCTCAGCAAGCCCTGCCCCCCCCCCCCACCTCCCGCCACCGGGAAGGAAGGCAGAGAAATGTCTTCATTCAGAAGAACACTTCACATCGCGGCACTCTTGCACCCGAGCACTCACGCCCTTTACTGTCCTAGTACTGGCGGTGCCGTGCGGGTATCGTACGGTACTGAGCGGCGCACTCCAGCACTTTACCGTACGACTACCTACTTGCGGTACCACTAGAACGATAGCGACCCACCGCACCGTGTTCCAGGGACAAACACAGCTCTCTCCCTCCCTCTCTCCCCAAGCCAGCAACCAGGAAGGCAAAGCGATCAAACAGAGGACAAAAGGGATCGACAAAAGAAAACCCTTGCCATCATTCCAGCCACCGCAAA